CATTTGCTTATATCTAGTTTAGAGTTTTAGGAATTAGGAACCTGAGTTCAGTAGGACTTAGAAATATGCATCTATCTTTAATTTAATAACTGAAATTCTTTAAGAAAACCTTTGTTAAGGAACCTTAAACCTGCAGATTGCTTAGAGGATATGCATGTGAGTTCGGAGGAGGTTTTGGAGGACGTTTTGAAGCAATATCAGGATGAGCCATGTAGGTGTTTCCAATTCTGTTGTTTATGGATTGTGTTATCATTACTCTCTATGTGTCATTTAAATTATTCTTTATGGTGTTTCCCGTTGTGTACTTTATCTCACCGGGAAATGTCTTATATGCATGTAACTTGTATGTGGGTGTCAAGAGTTTGTTTGCGAATGAATTGCCATGTTTTGTTGAGAAGACCTGGATGTGTACATTACCACGCCGGTCTTGGGCCCCCCGCTACCATATATGGAATCCAACGAGTCGGCAAAGGGCATCGACGTATGGACAAGATTATGGATAGCTTTAGTAGGCGTGCCCGAGCTACGAGTACTTGATTGTTGTGGCCACTTGGAGTGACGGGAAATAAATTGTTTGTTGATTGAATGAATGGATTCTTTTTTTGAGACCAGTTTGGAAGTCGACCAATAAAGCCACATAGGCCCTTGGCGTTTCTAATCTGTGGCTCTCTTGTATCCTTTACTATTGTGTTTGATGGTTCTGGTGGTAACCATCTTTTATGTGCTAAAGAATGACTTAATTTGTGACTAGGACTGTCAATTCGGGCGGTTCGGTGTGGTTTGGGTAAATTCGGTTCGGGTTAATCGGTTTTTTCATCGCACGAGACCCGCTCGAAATCGAACTGCACAAACTATTGTACCGAACCGAACCAACCGAATAAAATATCGAGTTTTTCAGGTCGGATTTCGGTTCAACCGAATTTATACAACTCTCACAATTCGGATTTCAGATGATGTGATGAAATGATAATATTTCATTAACCTGATACATTCATGTTTTAAAATCAAGGTTCAAATCACAACAAAATAGAAAATTCAAGTCTCTACGAATATTTATTTTCGAATCCGTTATAATCAAGATGAATCAAAGGCCTTAATAAAAAAATCTTTTTTTTTTAAAAAAAAAGAAAAATTTCCACCCACCGTGAGATTTACCAGATTACCCATGGGAACTCTTTTTAAAAAATCCCATCTCAGCTACCCCATTTCCGGCTTAGAAGCCTTACCATTTGGTCAGGAAAATAACCCAACAAAAAACCCAAACAATCACTTCCCCACATTGATGCTCAAGTTCCAACCATTACTTCCCCGCACTGGCGTCGCCGCATCGGCGCACCGGAAGCCAAAAAGAAGAAAAGAACGGAAGAAACATTATAGGATCAGAATGGTATTCATTCAATTTACTTCTCCAAATCTCCCATCCGTTCTCACTTTCAAAATCTCACCATCATCTTCTAAAGTTCTCAGATCTGAAAGTTGAATTATTATTATTATTTTTATTTTTTTTGAAAGAGATGAAGGGATTGGTGATGGATTTGGTAGATTATGGAGGTGGAAAGTTGGAGATGGAGTCTTGGAGTTGGGAGTCTAGAGTTGCGGCGTGGGCGGCGGTAGGCTGAAGAACGAGAGAGTGAGAGACGGGGAGAGCGAGATAGAATGGGAAGTGGGGTGGGAAAAAAAAAAAAAAACCATAATCTCTCATATAAACAATACTATATATATATATGCATATAAAATAGATTAAAAAATAATAATACTTAAGCGGGTTTTCGGGCGGTCCCCGAAAAAAAATATTTCTAAACCGCATCCGCACTAAAATTTCTATGCGGTTCTTCGGGTGCACCCGTAATTCCCTGATTTGCCCGATTAACCGACTCATTCAACCCAAATTGGGTTCGGTTCGGGCGGGTTCTCGGGTTCACCCGGTTTACTGACACCCCTATTTGTGACAATGGACTGTTTGAGTTACTTGATTGTTCTTGCTGTAAAGTCTGCTTAAATGTTTTATGTGGTTTTGAATAAATGCTTTGCGTGAATTTAAATGACTGTAGATGGTCGTGATAATGCAATCGAATTGGACCCTATTGGGCGTAAGCCCACTCTTTAATATTCCCCCCCCCCTTCCCCATAGCTCCATCAGAGGAGGAACTTGGTTACTAGGGTTATAGTTCGTGATTTGGGGTTTGGCTCAAGATGTTTTGTGTTGTGCATAAGATCACTGCGACTTTACACTCTTTTCTTTTGTGAACATGTGTAAACTAGAGGCTTTAGTGTTCAGTTTTGGGGTTGTATGTTTAACATTAGCAATCAGTTCATATAATATGTGGTTGTGCCTAGTATTGAACCTCCTGGCTTGTGGTTTACATTTGTAAAAATTGAAAATGCGGGTGCATGTAGTTAGTGATAGAAGGAACCTTGTTAGCTTCCTTTTGTTTTAAACGAGGTCTTTTGACTTGGTGATGTAAATGTAACCATGTGTGTATATATATATATATATATATATATATATAAAAGGCAACGAATGCCCTACCCTTTGTGAGTTATGTTTAATTTCCTTTAAAAAAAAATTGAATTGAAACTTGAGTCCTAGCGTGAGCTAGGCAGGCGTCCGACTTTACTACTCGTTCTAAACAGAGGGTAAAGTTGGGGCGTCACACATTCTTTGTACCATACCTATACTTCAATTCATCCCACAGCTCACAAGCATTTTCGGCTAGATTATAACCATCAATTATCCCAACATACAATGAATTAAGGATCCACGATACTATAGTGTCCTTAACCCTATGCCACTGATCGAAATCTCGACTCCCAATCCTAAGCATAGCTACAGTACCATATATGAACCCTAGTTTATTCTTACACTCAGAGCTCTTCTCATGGCATACTCCAGGCCAAATAGTTCTCATCATTTAACTGAATCGAGATAATCGGCGAACCTTGATTGTCAGACGGCAACAGCGTCAGCAGATGCGAGTAACCTCCGCAATTGTACTCATCTCTACCTTGATAGTTGTAGCGAATTCGTTCTCTCCCTGAATTCGCTTCATTGTTGATGAATTCACCGTTTCGAACAATATCTTCACCACCGCGATTGTTCACCATTCTCCCGAACCAGAAACCCTAATTGAAAGTAAACTTAGGAATTTGTAATCTGAGAGAAAACTTTAACAGCGGAGTATTGAGCAGGTTTTTACGCCTGCTCTGATACCATCTTGAATTGACGGATCTGAATTTGTATATTGAATTTGGAAGTATGAATCAAGATCGAAGGAATCGTAAATTTGGGGAAAACTTCAGTTGAGTTTTATTTCTCTCTCTTCGATAGTCATAACTGTACAATCCATCACATATATATACCTGCTGAATATTCTAAACTGCTTATCTATACACTAATAACAGTCTGCCCCTGAAACTACAAACATTTACAAACGAACTCCTGTTGACTATTTTAACTATACAATCAAACTTGTTGTACAATGTGCAACTATGCAGAACTCTATCAAACTATACCAAACTATACAAAACAGAGAATGTACATATTTACATGTTTACAAAGCTTTATATATGAGATAACTTGGTTGGAGTCAGGTCGACTAGTCGCTAACGAGCGATGGCCCAACAACAACAATGATAGTTAAAAATTACATAAAATAATTTTTAAAATAAATTTTAAAATGAAAATAAAATGTTATATATAAATTTTAACTCAAGTTTCGGATCCAGGAGACAAATTAAAATTTGTTGAATTTAATACACTGGCCCATAGTAATTAATGGTTCAAGACAAGTCTTGGATCACTCATATTGTCATTGTCTCGGGAAGCTTTAGTAGATGTATCTAGTCAACTCAGACAAAAATTTTGAATAAGTTTGTTTCTTGGTTCGGCCTCAGTTCAAAAGGTTTATTCAATTGGTCCAATTGAGAATTCCCCAGTCAAAATTTGCAAGTGTCCAGAATATGTTCATTCAACAGTTTTCTACTATTCTTATTCCTTGGAAGTGTTCAGAAGGTTCATCCCTTACCTTCCTTTTTTATAAGCTAATACTGAACTTTCCAATTAAAAGAGGTGCAACCAAATTTTTTGTACATGCCTGATTTTCAACTTTGGACATTCAGCAAAATTTAAATATTTGTAAAAATAGGAATTTAAATAGATGTTTGACTTTAAAAAAAAAAAAATTCCAACATAACCTAGTTCAGGAAGACCTCATTAATTAGTACCGCTATTAATCAAGAACGTCCAAACTAGCTAGTAACAAATGAAATTTGACAAATGCTAAAACGGTCAATTAATGAGTTGAAGTTTCATGGTTAACGAGTTCTGAACTTTTTTTACTTGATCTTCTCCATGATATTTTTCCTCACTAATTAATATGTTTATTTTTCTTTTAATTTTATTTCAGGACAATATCTTTTGTGAGTTACGACACTTTCTATACTGGCATACCAAGTAAAGGACTTACACATGTCTAATTACTTACCCTAACTAATTTACATACCATTTGGTTAGAATGAGCATTAATAATTGCAGTACATATCAATTATTCAACTAATTTTACATTGAGTATAACACAAAAGTGTTTACGAAAGACAATGTAATTTTTACTTGAATTCTTTTAATCGGCAAGCCTGAGTAATTAAACAAATCTATTTCTTCTTATAAAAATGCCTTGAACAGCAGTATTTTACACAAGTCGAAGGCCTGGATTTCTAATTATTTTTTCCCTAACCGTATTTTTCATGTGATAAATAACATCAAGTAACATCCTTTGTCGTTCAAAGCTTGAATTGGAGTCATTGATGTCAATAACCATCCCTTCCTTTATCTCATCGTGCATCTTCATATATCTTATTAAGTACATGCCACAATCAAACCTGTCTCCAGATACAAGTTGATCAATATATTAACATTGATATCAGGTACAAACGTTTCAATAGAAATATTAAAAGTGACGGATTAGTCATTATTATCAACGATAAAGGAAAAAATTGTGAACTCACCCATTAGACTGTTTGGGTACCCATATTGGCTCCTCAACTGGAAACCTAGTCATGTCATCTTGGTATTCTTTGGTAAAAACCGCTACAAAAATATTTTGCAACACCCTAATCTGCCAATATTAATTTTAGTATATTAGCAAATAGAAGCACCTAATTAATATAAATAAATTAAATGTTCTCGAATTATAATATTTTTCAATAATTAATTACCACAAATTCCACATCTGCTTTACTTCGGTTATCTCTTCCTGCTAAAGAATCAAGGATAACCACACGTCTTTCTCTCAAATCAACCATGCACAAATACCAATGAGTATTATTGCCGTTCATGGGGATAAAAATCTGTTAATTTCAACTTTAACATGTTATTGTATACTGCATGAAAATTAACATTGTAGTTTTACTCTTCCCATCAAATTGTCATACAAGTGTTATACCTTTTCACAATAGCGAACTTTGCCTCCATACCTATTGTGTTTGAAAAAAGTATTGAACATTTTCCGATGAAATCCATCCTCCTTCGTATTTGGACCAAAACAAAACGTCTACAAGACACAATGTTATTAATATTAAGTACTATATGATTTTCAACATTAAAGACAAGGAAAATGTATACCTTGAAGTAGTCAGGCAAAAACCAAACACGATAATCACCCTCAGGGTACTTTAAACGTTGGTCTAACGTAAGCATCGCGACGTGAATGTTTATAACCTAAGAGACCTATAGTTAGTAGGGGAATGATTTCATAGCAATATTGAAGATATGCACTTTAAATCTGGTAACATACTTCTGAGAGTAACCATTGCTTAGGTTTGAGGGAGTTCAATGACGCTCGTCTAGCGATTTCCACATGAATGTCTGCTAAAATCTCACTTCATTATATCATGTTTGCCAAAAAGGAATCTAGGATTAGTGAATGATCTACTAAATATTCTCAAGTAGTAAAGAAGAATAAATTATGCTCCTAATATACACTTACCTTTCATCCCCTTCTCCAAATGCATAATCGATGACTTTTTGCTCTTCGCAACTGAAAAACTGGAATGACCACTAGAAAATTATGTAAAAACAATTACAACTATTATAAAACATCAAATGTAAGAAATCACGAGATACAACTTACAATTGCATTGTCACGTTGTTTCCCATTGAACGTATGGCCTTTATTAATGTCTGATTCATTATCATACGGTGCTTGAAAATTTCGAGTTATCAGCTGCTCACTGGAATGCCGATTGTGCCTCTGTTCCTGATCTCTTGATGCAGAAATAACTGATGGTGTTTGAAATAGGTTCGAAGGCGTTGATTGGTGTTCATTTCGATTCTCCAAAGATGATTCCTCCTCAACAACATTGTGGATTGCACCCAAGGCCGATGTAACGCGGCGTACTATTTCTTGATTAGTCAAAGCAGGTGACCTTTTCGGATCAATAAACAGAGCATCCTCATGATTCACCAACCCGCCTCCATCACCTAAAGAAACATACTCTGTTTCAGGAAAAACCTTCAAATTCATTCTAGTCTCCCCAGCTGATATTAAATCCTTTAAGTGAAAGTGTAAATCTTCATCGCAAGCCATCTTAATCCAACCATCCTCCTTGTCCTCATATTTTATTTTGAACTTGTTCGGTACCAGATCGAATCTTTTCTTCAAGGCTTCCACCAGCTCACCGAATGCTGAAGTGCTGCCCAAATCAAACTTCACTGCATCCTCTCTGTATGTTGCCTTGACAATCATACTGTGCGTTTGAGTGGAACCTTTTTCTGGAATGTAGTGGGCCTTATTTTTCTTGTGCGATGACCACCTTTTAATACCCAAATCTCGACACCTACGTTTCAGAGTGGAACGACTAACTACAAAAGAGATAAAGCGGAATGGTTTAACAAAAATAATAACCATGTAATGAAATGAGTTGGAGATGTAAGACGAAAGAAAATAAAAGAATTTGGGAAAATGATCACCCCCAAGTTCTCTTGCAGCATCTTCTACTTTTCTGCCAGAACATTGTTCGATTCTGTCATAGTCGATCTCAATTTTGACTCCCTTCTTAGTCATAGCTTCTTTATTGGTATGGTGAACACCAGCTTCCTTGGTTGTTTGTTGATCATGGTGTGACGAAAGATCCGGAAGTTTTCCATCCCCTGAATCATCATGGCTTTGGAAAGTTTCTGCCTCTGCATTGAATCCGTCAGTCTGGGTATGAGTTGCATTGATTTGAGCATCGGCTTTTGTAGACGATGGTATTGTTGTCATATCAATGAAAATTGTAGTATCAGTCTCGGGATATTGAACATTATCTTCTAAGGAGAGTGGTTGATCTGCCGCTTGAAAGTGTTGCTCTGTTCCATTTCCTATTTCAGATACATCAAAGTAGACATACTTAGGGACATCGTGGTGGGAGAATTCAACTGAGAATTTCTTGGTTCCGAAGGTAATGTCCTTATACTTGGAAAGTCGTCTGGCAAACTCAGAGAATAGTAAATCTAAAATATCCTTAAGAAGATCCTTTAGACTATTTTCTAGTACATCCATATGAAAGTCGTGCCAAAGGACTTCTAATATTACAGGAGGAAGCTTGGTATGAATTAATTTCAAGGGGATCGCAAACCTGCAAAAATTTCTCAAATTACCAATTGGGTAATCAGAGAGGGTCCATGGGCTAGTGTCACTAATGAAACAAAGCTTGTTTAGCGAATGCGCTCTTTCAACCCAACTTTTTCCATTCCTCAAAAAGAAAGTTTGACGTTCGAAGTCTAATCTATCCAACTCATACTCTGTATCCCAGCTGTCCAATGGCCATTCGCAAAAGAATTGAGAAATCCTTTTGGGGGCATTTAACAGAGTGCAGTTATCCTCCTGATATTGGGAATCAGCCCCGGGTTCATCATCACAAATGCATGGAACCCAGAAGCGAACACTACATCGTTTCTGCACTCGGTATAGAGAAGTAGCCAGAAGATCATATGCCGAAATGATTGACTTCCCATAAAACTGGATTAGAATTATATGAAAACTAGAGTTATTACAGAATCAAAACATTTTGTATGGAAGAAAGCATTTTGCTTTGCTTTAGTGGAACGGTCACTGGTTCAATGTGAGTCTAGTGTGCACTTACAGCTTCGCATTCCTGGCAATGGGGCCTTGTGCACAAAAAGTCTTCGTTCTACACCAAAAATAACTTTATAAAATTTTAAGAATATTTAACGAGTCATCAATGCGATACGCACTCTATAGAAAGATATTACCAAACGAAGAAGAGAATGAATTGATACCTCAACAGAAGTGAATGCTGAAAAAGAAATTTTGGAAAGAGAAACAAGCTCAAGTACTCCAATACAGCGGTCCCGATGATTACTCGGTTCGAAAAGTGGAACAACCCGACAACTTATAATGCCGCAGTTCTTAGCGAATTCTTTCATTGGAAACTCATCTATGGTGCACCCACTTTCTATGTCATCACAAACTTCAGAAGATCTACCAAGGAACGCCCTTCCCAGATGACCGAGTTGACTGACATCATTGACCGAACTCCCTTGTTGGATGCAATGGTACCTATATCTGCAGAATCCAATATAAAGTTGACTGACGCCAAACGGTTGTCCTACCACAGATAGCACTGTCTGGCCGGTCTTTGTGGTTACGGGTGCCCAGAACTGCACTAACGTTGACCCAAAAACTCCCAGCGACAGAAGTAAGGACTTGATCTTATCTGGAATCGATTGTGGTTGTGCTGGACTGTTAGTAGCACAAAGGTGAAATTACAAAAAATGAGAATCCGTATAACACTTTATAATTCTAAAGTTGCATTCCCGGAAATTCACAAGATTCCGTGAGCACAATCCAACACGCAGCCCGCTGCCCCACCCAAAGTAAAGTTATTTGTACATAGCCCAAAACGGCCAAACTTATTTCATTATACAGCAATAATCCCCCGAAAAGAGAAAGAAAGAAAAGCATAGGAGAAGGTATGAGATGACTTACAAAGAGCCGGAGGAGATGGGTCTCAAACTTCCGTCGGAATTATTCATTTCTGGGTACCAAAATACTTTTAAATCTTTGCTCTCCTCTTGGCATTCCTCCATGCCAGGCAGAAGGGTAAGGAAATCATCAGAGCAGAGCAGAGCGGCTCCAAAACCGGGATCCATAATATCTAAAGTCAGAGGATCCAAAGAAAATGGGAAAAAAAAAAAAAAAAAAAAAGGGTTAAAAGAGCAGCGATATCACCTATAATAACGAAAGAATTCAGGTTGATCTTCAATTATTCTCTCTTCAATTTATACTGATAAAAACTTTTCCAATGTATCTTACCGGGGGACTCATTCATTCACAATCAGTCAAAGAAGGTACGGGTGGCTTGTGTGGATGACGATGATCTATATTGTCAAAGTCAAGTACTAAAAAAACTCTTTAAAAAAATGTTTGTTGGCTTTTCTTTTTGGGTTCACTCGGTTTCGGGGGGTCCATTGATTGTTTGTTTGAGTCTTAATCTGCAAGTTGCAATTACGTACGCGTTCTAAAGGTTCATTCATATGGTCCTTAGTTATTGTTAGTACCTTCAAGGTTCAAACTTCAAACAGTTCAGAAGGTTCATCACTCGACTTCTCTTTCTCCCTTAATATTGAATGTAGTATAATTATCCCCAAAAGAAAAAATAAATAATAGTTCACATTAAATTTTTAAATTTATACATAATATTTTTTTTGTATAAATATCAAAATTCAAAATAAACTTTTTTTTTCTCGGACATATAGAATATTTCTTTATCTGAGATCTCTCGTTTACTACACGTCCAATGACCCCAAAAGTCCCAAACTTACTAAATATTGGCCAGAAGGTTCAATAGTGTCGTTGTTACTAAAAGTTTGACAACACATCATATATGACCGACATTTGGAGACACTCAAAAAAGGTTGCATCGACTAAAAATTTTCCAACAATGAGACTACATAGCTCTACATGCATCCTAGCTCAAAGAAGGAAAAAAAGAGGCAATTTTCTCACCCATCAATCCAACTCCCACGGCCCACAGGCAATTCACACGGTTGAATTTATCGGATTTGATGGTTGTAGTACACACCAAAACTCATTTGTGGTAATCAGATTTGTAAACATTTAATTTTCATCAAATTTGTAAACATAATTTTCTTCTTTTTCTGTCTTTTTTTTTTTTGTAAAAAGAAAAAAACATTTTAAGGCTTGGAAAAGTACCCAGTTCTACTCTTATTGGAGTACATAGCTCAACTGATTTTTTTTTCTTCTGTTTTTTTCTGGGTTGAGGCGTTGAGCTATATGAATTGCTAAATTAAGCAACCTTAGCTGAGCTGAATATATTTGGATTGGTCAATGGTTACCGCCAATCTGAAGAAATTCTATCAAATTGGGCTCTTATAAATGTTAACGAATTTTTACAGGCCATATAAGCCCAACTTTCAAAGCATTAGTCTAAAGAAAGTTGCTTCTCGCTTTGGGGTTGAAAGAAGGATTTAAACGATATTTTGAAAATCGTACCAGAAGTCGAAACGGTAACTTCACTAGTTCAGTGATTTACTGGTTCAATCGGTTTGAATCGTTCCTAAAAACCAGTCAAAACCGGTTATAAAAATATTTTAAAAATAATTTATTTTCAAAAATTTAGAAATTCGGTCCAACCGGTACCGGTTCTCGGTCAACCGTGGTTTTGTCCCGATTTGACCGGTTTTTAAGTTAGTCAGTTATAAACTAAAATCGGACCGGACAGGCCTCCTATTCCCGATTGAACCGATTCAACCACTCGATCCAGTCCGATTTTCAAACATAGGTTTTAAAATGCGCTAAGGCCCAAGAAAAATACAAGGTTATAATAGATGATTATATTCATGAAAATGATTCAGCTATATTTATAAAAAAGTATAAAAAAAAAAATAAACAAATACATTGCTTAAAAGATATATTTGTTTTCCATATATGGCAAGTTTGCATGGTAGGGAATATTGTTAAAAATAATCATCATGAAGAGAAAATCATCAAGAAGAGGAGTCATTGTTTACCTTATGAGATAATTTTAACAGATAATGGCTGGAATCATCGGCGGACGTACGACCCGTTGGGCGGCGAAATTTTCCCATAATAGGATCTGTAATTCGCGACGTCGGTGTTGAAATTTTCAGCTGAGCCCCTCCGGCGAAATTAAAAAAATAATGATTTGTACCTAGTTGAGCCCCTGTAATATTCAAATCCTGGTTCCACCACTGACTGAAATGATAAGTGTTGAATAGTTGATATGTTTAGTTTTATTTACTAATGAAGATAGGTACTTATCAAGTGTAGACAACTACATATATAACTTCTATCTCAGTTGGTATTCCATCAATCACAATGCAATCTTTAAAAATTATTCCTATTCAACTTTTCTCATTTATTTATGTTCTGTAATTTCTTATTTTCTTTTAATATAACTGAGACACTTTTACCGCTTCTATCATTCCCCAATTCTTACTTTTATGTTAGGGCGCTAAGTTGGAATTACATATGCGGCAACCACAGCCACGACAGGATCTACACTTCAAAAATAAGCATTACTCTTCTTTGACGATGATGGTATTTAATGGAGGCACCAAACCTGAAAGTTTTTCTTTTGTTTTTTTTAAGATTAGTAATATATTTTTGTAGTAATTAACGCCATCAAATTTAAAAAATGAGTAACGTATAGACACCAACTTGACCTTTAATTCTCTTTTTCAAATGGATGTGATTTAATAAGTTAAAATCTTGAACTCAGTGACTAGATTGCTAATATATCTAAATTTTGGTGTAATATGGTTGTTGGAGTAATTATAAGGAACCTCCAATGTGGTTGTGCCATTGAAGGATCGAATTGAGAAAAGAAGAGAAGGGTGTACGGACTTGGTTCTCAAGCATGCCGACTTAGAACAATAAGAATTGTATTTTCATGTCATTGTAATGTACAATATATAAGGGTATATATAGATAATAATAAACCCTATACAAAAGATTATTACCGTAAATACAATTATTATAATACGCCCCCACAAACTGACGGCGGATAAGAGAGAATTCGAAGTTTGATCAGTAGCAGACACAGAGCGAACCGAAACAAACTTTTGTCGAACATGATCACGAACAAAGTGAAAATTCACCTCAACATGTCTAGTGCGGGCATGAAACACCGGATTAGAAGCAAGAAAAATAACACTATTATTGTCACAAGAGGGAGAATGACGCAACAAAACACCCAATTCAGATAACAGATGACATACTCAATGCAGCTCAACACAGACATTAGCAATCGCAAGAAACTCAGCCTCAGTAAACGAACGAGCCACCGTGGGTTGCTTCCGAGATGCCTAGGCAAGGAGATTAGGGCCCAAATATAGGAGAAATCTTGTAGTGGAACGGCGATCATTTGGACAACCAGCTCAATCAGTATCACTAAAAGTAGTAAAAGTGTCCAAATCCGTGGGATGTATAACCAAACAGAAATCAATTGTGCCAAAAAGATAGCGAAGGACCCGTTTAAGAGCCTGAAAATGAGAGGTGCAGGGCTGATGCATAAACTGAGAAAGCTTATTAACAGCAAAACAGATATCCGGCTGGATAAGAGTGGTATATTTCAAACTACCACAAAGCCGACGATAGGTAGTCGTTAGCAGACAGTAGGGTACCATCGAAACGGAACAACACAGCACCAGTCTGCATAGGAGTGGAAATAGGCTTGCAAGTATGCATATTGGCAAGTCGTAGAAAATTAGTAACATACTTGCGCTGAGAGAAGAGCAAGCCCCAGGAAGTGCGATGAATCTCAACAGCAAGGAAATAACTCAAGGGACCCAAATCCCGAAGAGAAACTCTTGAGCAAGACAAGATATAAAATACTGAACCAGACCAGACGTGCTGGCTGTAATAATAATGTCATCCACATATACTAGCAGAAAACACAACTGAGATCTATGATGGTATACAAATAGGGAAGGATCACAACGAGACTCCACAAATCCCAAGGTGACCAAAAACGCAGCCAATCGAGAATACCAAGCCCGAGGAGCTTGCTTAAGCCCATATAATGACTTATGCAGCTTACACACATAATGGGGGCGCACAGGATCAGCAAAACCCTGGGGTTGAACCATATAGACAGTTTCAATCAGAATACCATTAAGAAACACATTACTGACATCAAGCTGAGAGAACGACCATCCACGAGCCAAGGCAACTGTCAACACCAATTGAATGGTGACTGGCTTAACAACTGGACTAAAAGTGTCAGTGTAATCAACTCCAAAAGACTGAGTGAAGCCTCGAGCCACCAACCGAGCCTTATAACGCTCAACAGAACCATCAACACGGGTTTTAATCTTATAAAGCCACCGATTTCCCGACAACATTACTGGAGGAAGGAGGGGGAACTAAGCTCCATGTGTTATTTTTGAGAAGGGAAAAAATTTCTTCCTTCATGGCATTTTGACACTTAGGAATAGACTTGGCTTGACTAAAAGATGTAGGAGCAACAAGCAGAAGTGGTGAAACAGAGGCAAGATGAGCCAAGGGATCAAAGATTTTCTTCAGCTTGGGGTTGGGACGGAGTGCCATTGGATGAGGACAGGAAGGAAGAGGTGGAGGAGCTGGTGAAGGGGAAATGGACTCAGATGATGGGGAGCTGGATGCAGGAGAACTAGGTAAAGATCCCGGCGAAGCTAAAGGACTGGGAGAACTGGGTAAAGAGGCCATGGGAATAGGAGAAATAGGAGGAGTAGCAGCGGGTACATGATTTGAAACATGCACACCAAGAGAACTGAAGACACGCGACCAGTGGGTGGAAGGGGACTCCAGCAGTGAAGATGGAAAACTGGAGATAGGACGTTTAAAGAGAAAGAGTTTCTCATCAAACTCGACATGACGAGCAACATAAAGATGATTATTCATCATATCAAAGCAGCGATAACCGAGATGAGATGGAGAATACTCAAGGAAGGCACACTAAGTAAAGCAAAAAGTGAACTTATGCTGATTATATGGTCGAAGAAGAGGATAGATTGCACAGCCAAAAACGCGAAGAAAAGTATAATTAGGTGGCTGGTGATATAGTGTAGTGAAAGGTATTTGACCCTGAAGAAGTTTACTAGGGTGGCGATTAATCAAGAACACACCA